TCATGTCTGGGTTCACTGCTACTTCCAACTATCCCTATTTGGTATTGATTTGGAAAACTTATTTCTGAGCTCTTTAGTGTATCTGTCTCATACAGTATATCTTTTAGCTATGCTGCATTGTCATCAACTTGATGTTTGAGTTCTATGGTCTCTTTATGATGCTCAGTTGTGATATTCAACAATATTTTTATATTTGAGTTAAACATCTCTGAGATTTGTGTTGCACCAATATTTATATTTTCAGATTCTTTTTTAAGAAAATCTGTCATTTTCTGTATATGTAGGATATATTGATATAACTCCATGACCCTAGCTTTATCTATAAGCAAATTCTATGTTTTTGCTGAGAAAATTTGCAATGAAATTATTAACTCCTTTAATATGAACTATATCAAAATTATAAAATGTTAAATAAACTTGTCATCTATGGAACCTTCTGTATTAAGGTTCTGATAATAATTTATTCCTGACTAATCCTACAACTTGAGAATTATCAGTCTCAATAACAAATTTCTTGGATAACAAGAATAATAAATTTTTTTTAACCCTCTAATAATTGCTAGTAATTCTTTCTCATGAGTGGTATAATTTATTTCTGCTTGATTAAAAGTTCCACTTGAATATCCACAAATCTCATTTAAATTTGTTTTTAATATTGCTGCTCAATATTTATCAGAGGCATTAGTATTAACAATCAAATTATTTTTTTCATCTAGTTATCTTAATTTTGGTAAATTTTTATATTCTTCTTTTAATGATTTAACTATTTCTGTATGTTCTTCATTCCATCATTTAATATTTGTTTTTCTAAGTAAAACTTGTATTTTATACCTTTTCTTAGAAAGATTTTCAATAAATCATTCTGCATAATTTAAACATCCTAAAAAAATTTGTATTTGTTTTTTAGATTCTAATTTATCTGAAATTTTTTCTATCTTTTTAGATATATGGGTTTGCAATTTTATTTCTCTTTTATGTATTGATAATCCAAGAAAATCTATTTCTTATTTATCTATTATAAATTTCTTTTTAGAAAGTACAATTCCTTCTTTTTTACATTCATTTATAAATTGGACTAAATGATTCCTATGTTTCTCTTTACTATTAGAACATATCAGAATGTCATCTATATAAACAATTAGGAATTTATTAAATTTTTTAAATATATTATCCATTTTTCTTTAATATATTTGTGGTGCATTTTTTAATCCAAATGACATTACTAACCATTTATATTTTTCCTGAGGTGTACTAAATACAGTATATTGTATACTATCTTCTTCCATTTTTATTTGCCAAAAACTTGATTTACAATCAAAATTAGAATAATATTGTTTTCCTTTTGCAAGGTTTATTAAAACTTCTTTATTTGGTAAAAAAAAAATATCCATCAAATTTAGTATATTTATTTAATTCCTTATAATTTATAACCATTCTAGCTTTTCCTCTAACTTGTTCAAAATGTTTTATATCCATAAAGACTAGACTACTATGAGTTCCATTACTTGGCATTATAAGTTTCTGTTTTAACAATTCTTTTATCTGATTTCTAAATTCTTGTGTATCTTCTATCGTATACATCATTGGTCTGACTCTTATTATAACATTTTCTGTCAATTCTATTTTGGTTTAAGGGTGATGTGATTTCAAAAATAAAAATGGGTTTTCTCCAAAAAATTTTCTAATTGTTCAATAATTTTTTCTATACTTATTTCTATTCCCGTTTTTAAAACTTTTTTATACAATATTCTTTTATTTTTTATTTCATTAAATATGATTGGTTTTTTCTCTCATTTATCACCACACTGGGCTGACTGAACTTTGTAAGGTCTAAATTCTCTTGGAATTTTTAATAAATGTCCACAAGGTATTTGTAGCATTATCATATAATTATTTTGTTTATAATATTGAAATTGTTGTATAAAGTCATTTCCTAAAAATATATCACACTCTAATTTATCATATTTATAAATTTTATTTATTGTAACTTGTTTACTTCAAAAAATTATACTAACTTTATCAGCACTACTAATTATCTGGATACTTTCTCCTGTGATTCCAGTTATTTTCATATTACTATTATTATTCCATGATTTTATCAAAAAACTTTTAAATATTATTATACCACTTCCCGTGTCTATTAAAGCACAAATTGTTATATTTGTTTCTATAATAATGATTTGTATATGTACAGTTAATGGAAAACTTGGGACAGAAGTCAGTTTGGGGTATTTTGGGAAGAAATCAATATAGGTTTTGCTTCAAAGGTTGGGGAAATTGAAATTTAATGTGGATAAAAAAGCGTTTCTTTCAATTTGAAGGAAAAACACTGCTACTTGGATTGAGTTTTTGTCCAGGCTGTCAAGTTTTAACGCCTTCTAATCCCATGTAGGATGGAATCGGCCATGTGTATTTTTTTGCACAGGTGGAGGATGGAATTGAAATGAATGATGGATCGGTAATGTTTTTCAAAAATGAGCGATGGTAGCATTTTATTTTTAATTGAGCAAGTAGTAATCATATGTAAATGTTAGTGATGAGTCATTTAATTAACTCATACAACCTGTATATACATTCATAAAAAAACAAACGAATTGGGAATTTTATACCTCCAATTGGACAGTTCCAGTAACCGGGGAGCTGAGCGATGGAATATGATGGAAAACGTAAAGAAAAGAGTTAGGTGGTGTCCATATATATAGCGGGTAAAAGTCGGGTTGGGGCTGGTTGCCATCGGTAATGGTAAATAAAAAAAATGTTGCCAACAGAAAAATATATATATATATTAATTTATTTTTGGAATTTATGTTAAGAGATATAAAATATTTAGGAGAATAATGTGAATAGGAAGAAATAATTTTTATTTTTATTTTTGCAAGTTGAAAGAAATAATTTATTTTAAAGTAAATAAATATAATTTCGAGATTCTGGAGAGCAAAAGCAATCTGATAGAAATCGTCCGTCGCTAAATCTTCTCATCTTTTGGCAATAAAAACATTAGTCAAAGGAGTGTTTTTTTTTTTTTTTCTTTTTTTGTGAATGCGTCTTTATTAGAGTTTCCGAAATAAAATTTAATAAATATTGATAGTACACATTTGAAAAACGATGGTACACCCAAGCTTTTTTTAGCTATCTTTCTGATCATGTGTCTACATGCGTAATATAAATTGCCAATTAGTCAAATTAATAGATATCAACATAGCGGCTCAGTTGTGTCCCAAACTCGATTATGACACATTGAAGTTTCATAATCTAAACATTGAAGTTTCATAATCTAACTAAAACTTGGATAAAGGTTCAATAGCACTCAGTTTCCACATAAAATAATTTGAAACTTTATTCAAGTATCGATCTCAAGAATGCGCTACTCAGCTACTAATTCCTTATGTAATCTAATGAATTAAAAGAAATGTTCAGAGGCGAATTGAAAGTCAAGTAGTAGAAATTCTAAAGACTTCCCGGGAAAAAATAGAGATGTCTCCTGTGTTACCCATAATAAGTGGAAGTATCGATGAAATTTCATAGAATCCTTCAATCTGAATTGTATATGAAGAACATAAGCCAGATAACGAAACAGAAAGACCTAAGACGTAGAAGGACCTAACATGAGAGATTCGATAGATTTGGATTGCGTCTTGTCAATTGTGACCATGAAATTTGAAGAACGAATAAAGAATTTCATTAAAGCCGTCTTGGAATGCAATTACTTGGATCATAGAGCTTGTTGACCTCGAATTTCATTAAAGCCATCTTGGAATGCAAGCTCGCATGGTTATAACAAGTGTAAGAACCTGATGGCATTTGAACAAGCAATACTAGATGACGAAGAATTCAAACTCAAAAGTGGTCTTGTAATGCAATTACTTGGATCATAGAGCTTGTTGACCTCGAATTTCATTAAAGCCATCTTGGAATGCAAGCTCGCATGGTTATAACAAGTGTAAGAACCTGATGGCATTTGAACAAGCAATACTAGATGACGAAGAATTCAAACTCAAAAGTGGTCTTGTAATGCAATTACTTGGATCATAGAGCTTGTTGACCTCAAATTTTGCACCCCTGAAATGGCCAACAAATCCCAAAGTCTCTCACGTCCACGCAAGTCTAGTTCCTGTACACTTGGACAAACCTTTAACCTTACATGACTTCCTATGGTGGTGGTAGACTTGGCCGCTCGCACTCCAAGAGTCAGGTCAGTTGAAGTAATAAGTATGAGAGGGTGGGAGTACTTTAGACACAAGCCTCCAATGCATAAAAGGGGGTCGACTTTGGGGAATGTTAAATAAAACAGTGATAGTTGAGAGTCTAAACTTGCATTACATTTGGAATGACACATTGTGTGAGTTTTTATGGTAGAAAATGATGAATACTAGCCATATAATGAAAGTGTACATGTTCTGCGACTGATGCCTCTTGTCGAAGATGTCAGTTCATCATAAACATTAAATGTTAATACCATTTTATTGTCCATAATATATGGCATGGGGTTTAGACTTGAACTGATTAGCTAGATAAGGTGGCAACAGCGGTGATTTGTCACATCAATCACGTACCAAAGATTGTGTGAAAGATCTCTTGTCGAGTCCCTTTTGCAGCCTCTCCCATGACGAGGGTTCAGTTCTTTCAAATTGTGTCGACTCAGTCAAATGGGTTCGATATTTTACATTGAGTAGGCATATTCACGGGGTCAGTTTGACGTGGAGTGTGGGGGCCAGATTTGCTTGCCATGTAAGATTTCTGGAGCTTGTGTGCAATAGAGCTGTTTTGTTTGAGTCTCATAGTCATATTCAGAATGTAAAGTTCTCCCAAATAAGGAAGATTTAGAATGGTTATGCCCTTATCACTGCAGTTCAGACTTTCAGATTGACGTATTCACAGTTTTGCAGTGGTTCGCCTCATAATTTGAAAGGATATTTTATAGTCAAACTGTTGTTGCCACTAAAGGAAGTTGAACAATGTTTCTTGGAGTGGACTCACACAAATGAAAAATAAATAGAAAATTAGAAAACCTGTAATCAATTTTCGACTAAATGCAAAAAGGTGGAGTTCCAGGATTATGGATTATGAAGTTAATTTCCAGTACATAATGCAAAAAGCTTACGTCCTAGCTATACAGCTTTGACTCTTCCATGAGCAGAGGCAGACTCTTTGTAATCAAACGAGGGCAAAGGAGATCTGTTCTCAGAGGAAGCCATCGTCAGAGGCATGCACCGGCTTCAGAATTGCTTGGTTTTGATTGCCCGGAAGACATGAAAAATATTATGTATATAGAGCAGGAATCATATGGTATGACAACTGAGAATATGTACAAAAGAATGAAGGTTTACAAAGTAAATGAAAATTTTGCAGTACTTGAAGATGTTTATTTTTTCAAAAGGAAAAAGGACGAATTCCTTGAGTTGAAAACATTTTTTGAATTTTTCATGCGTTGCTCACTGCTACATAACAAAAATACCCTTTCAAGTAGTAGGATGAGCCGGGGAAGGCGAATTTCTGCAAACTGGACAAGTACCGTTCATCCTCAACCATTCATCAATGCACTCAGAATGGAAGCAATGTTCACACTGAGGTATGCACCTAAGTGTATCCTTGGGATTGTAATCCACAAGGCATATTGGGCAAGTGACACCATTAGGCCCCGGGAGGCGTCGACTTTCTCCGATAACTACTTTTGTGTAGGATTCAATAATAGAGTCATCAAGGCCAGCTACAACTGCCGCAGATTGTGGTGTTACTGTAGCCGTAGCTGTGGCTGCATTTCGAGCTGCAGCATCAGCCCGACGTCCACGGTCCATCAGGCACATGAAGCATGATATAACAAATGAACATGTGATGGCCGGTATAACTATGGACAAGGCAATGATTTTGAAAATTTGCAGACCCCGTGTTTTACCTGAAAATTGAAGTCAGCGGTAAATTAAAGCATTGATATCATAAAGGCACTGCTATTCATAGCTTTTATGCAGTATATAGAATGACCAATAGTTTGGAAGTTCAAAGGCTTGATGCATGGTGAGATTAGAAGTCAGGACTTTCGACAAGTTTTAACGTTCAAAGACTCGCAGCAAGATTCGTAGTCGGGACTTCTGTTAATAATCCCAAACTCAAGATTAATATGAAGAAAATTAAAACCAAAAATGAACAGAAAACATATAGGTTTATAGAGGTTCGCCCTCACCGAGAAAGTTAATTTCACTTGTCAGGTATTCGCTAAAAGTCGAGAATAAGAAGTTTATAATTGAGATCCTCAAACTCTCTTGTATACATAACTGAAGTAAAAATCCCACTCTCCTAATATCCTTTTTCTAACAGAAATATTACAGTAGCATGATGCTATATTAGCCCTTGTTTGAGCCCTATTCTTTTCATAAGAAAGCATTTTTGAATAATGTATTGATGAAAAACGTGTGGTTAAAAAATAAAGAAAAATTTTCAATTTGCGTGTAATATTATTTTATTGAAGAATGTTTGATGGACATAACGTCAAAACACTGTTTAAAAATATATTTTTTCCAAAGAATGGAGCTCAGCTAAATGATCATGCCATCTAAAAGTTTAAATTATTAAAGTAATCATCTTGTATAAATACTCAAACAATGCCTTATGCCTCCAAACTATCAATAGTAAAGTATTATCTTCATCCAAGTCCACTGCAATTATATATATATATATATATACACACACACACGCACACACATGCTTCTATCAGTCATAGTTCATACATTGACATTCATAGTTGTCCCTACTTAGAATGTCTTGAACCAAGCAAAAAAGTCAGATGTCCTTTAAGCATATTGAAAACAAAACTTAACTTTATAAGCAAGTTTACCAATTAGAAAATAAGTTTTAAGGTACTCTATTTATTGATCAAATTTGGGAATAAGTTACATATTTAGTTACTTTTGAAACTTTTTTACTTGAAAGTAAGAAAAAGGAATATATTCAAACGTTTTTGCAAACTAAAAGATGTTTAAAAAAACTTCTAAAATTTTTTAAAGCGAAAATCATGAAATTCGATGAGAACTGAAATTGATTACCTGTTCCGGGATCCGAAAAACATTGAATTACCCTGCTGCTGCTGTTCTCAAACCCACAAGTACCACCTTTCACTTCACAATCTATACAATCAGGAATATTCCATGTTAATTTAAGATCATCATTGAGGTCAGATGAAAATCCCTGATTCTGAAATGGCAATGAAACTGGGATTGGCAAAGTAACAATTACACTGCACATGTTCATAGCCCTGGCAAGATTCATTGAAGAAGTTGCCAACACAGATACTGTAGAATTGCTAAGGCAGTTAATGGTAGTGATCTGGGATATCGTATAATCTGAAGGACAGCTAAGGAAAGTATAGTTCCGATAATAATCTGCCATAAAAGGGGATGACGAAAGGTTGAAGTCCATAAGCCGCCATGGAAGGCAATCATTTGGATCGTAGAGCTGGATTTCTTGCTTGAGGTAGTCGATATCCCGGACAAGAAAATCTCCTGAGTAAGGAATGTTGAGTACAGCTTTGTTTCTTTGGATACTGCAATTCAGGACAAAACCCGGATAGCCACAGTTTTGGAGTTGTTCGCCTTGTAACTGGAAAGGAAATCTCACTTCAAAGGAATTGCTGCCACAGAATTGAGTTTGGCAATGATTTCTTGCATTTACGACCAGAAACTGCAGGAATACAAACAAGATGACTTTCAGATTTCCCATATGTACAAAAGTTAGAAATCGTTTAGCAAAGATTGAGGTAAGGTTGATCAAAATACTTTCCAAAGTCAGAGGTTTATGCAAGATGAAGCTGTTGACCTACCAAATATCCATTATTCAACAAGAACATAGAATTGGTATTCTATTCCCAATTACCATTAATTTAATGGCAGTAATTAATTTATTGAAAGTATTTTGGAGGCTGGATAAAGTAATCGATAGTCAATCCAATTGTAGTTTAAAATATTTGTTCGGTTTGACTAGAAAAATCTAGAGTGTTACCCGTTTTATTTGAGAAGACACTTTGAGCTGATGAAAAGTATTCACTAGAGTTCGTCATTGGTGAATAAATTTGCTTATGATTGCCTCTTGGATTGTCCGGTAGGGTAAATCGGATGAGGAAGGGAACACGATTGAAGGGCAAATACTATCAGAATCTAAATGCTGAAGATGGGATTATGCTACCACCAACACATTAAGGCGTGCTCAAGGCTAGATTCAATTTTATCTACTTTATTTAATTAATTATGTCATTTTATTTAATTAGAGTTTTTTCTAATTCTGTTAGGACTTTGGAAATTTAGGGTGCAATTTTTACTTAAGACTTGCATGAGGCCTTAATCCTTATTCACAGACGTGGAACAATGTTTTGTTGGTTGACTTTTGGTTTTTAACTTCTTGTGATTGTTCTCAATATTTTTCAAAAAAAATGAGTTATTGATTTTGTGCTTATTACTATACGCGCATACACTCTATGAAAAAGTTATGGTTTCATTGCCACTTTATGTCTTTGATGTTCAACAAAGATTTTGTGTTTATTTCTTCATAAGTATACGCTGCATCAAAGAGTTATGATCTCATTGTCAGCTTTTATCTTTAATGTTTGAAGAATCATGTGTTCGAGGAAAAACTCAACTAACTCCACCTCTTGTCAAGCATAAATCGACTAACTCGGCCTTGGTTGGTATTGAAAACGTGCCTTTTCAAAATGATGACACCAAAGTGAAGAACATTGTTTGGCAAAGCAAGTTTGATGATTAAATATTTCAAGACATCTTTTAATTATAAAAAAAAAATAATAATAATAATAAATAAATAAATTTGTAAACTGGTGATAAAATTGAAATAAATTAAAGTTAAGGGACCAACATGAAAAAGACTGGTAAGTGGAAAGACAAAAACTTCCCTGGAAGAAATAAATTAAAAGTTAACAGAACCCTATTTTTGTATCTAAATTTGACAAATAGAACAGATGTTGAAATCAGAATCCAATTACCAACAGTTGATAGCTTCTTCGGAGGAGAATCAATCAGTCAATCAATCGATCAAATAATCGAACATTAATCTAATGAAGAAAAGCTGGAGCGGGAACAGTATGGTGGATAAGGGTCGGACCTTACCGGTGGATCCCAATCTCCCGCGATTTCTGTGCCAGAACTGTCGTCAGAGTCTCTGTATCGTCGGCATCGATTCTTATGCCGACAAATTCTTGGCCTCCGGTTAAAATTCTCCATCCTTGTTGATATTTGCCAATTTTCGTTATTTTATTTATATGAGCTTTAATATTCAATTTACGATCATCAGCGTCAAAGTAAATTAAGCGAAGTTCTTTTTTGTTTCTTTTGAGGTACGAGAAGGTAAAACAAGTAATAAATTACGTTTAGTACAGCCGAGAGCCGAGAATCTAAATTTACATATATGAAGCTGTAATTAATTGTAATGGTTTTAGGAGCATCTTATTTTCTTATGAAACTGTAACTAATTATAATTCTTTATAGCATTTTTGTGTAATGTCTCTCTGTTTAGTTTGTGAAGTACATGATTTTGCAAGTTATATAGTTTGACTCTACTTCAAATGGATTGCATCTTGAGCTTTGGTAACTGCATTAGGTTATCTTGACTTAGCTTTATAGTTTCTGATCTATATCTGCTCTGTCATATTGGGAATTAAAGGTATTTATTTGTATAAATGGGGAAGCAACTATCTGTGTGATCAATGAGATTCGTCTTAAACTTAAATTTACAGTGAAAATATCTTCCACACCAACGTGGCCAATTCCCACCAGTGTGAGGTTTGGGTGTATTTTGGCTTTAGTTGGTATTATAGGACATTTATGAGGAACTTTGGAAAGATTTCTAAGCCATTGACAGACTGGCTGAAGAAGGGAGAATTCAAATAAAATTAAGCTATAGAAGACTCTTTTCAAGAGTTCAAAATATGAACAAAACTCCTGCATGGCCCCACTTCACTATTCAAGGCCCTTCGAGACCGATGCTTGTGATAGAGGGATTGGTGCGACTCTGATACAACAGGCATTATCGGATTTTGTACTTTTATTGAAGTATTTCATTCTGTCATTACCTTACCCTGGATTCGGGATCCCTCTCTCTAACGGCTAATAAAGCATCTGACTATCGTTTTAGAAAGAACTAGCTTTTAAGATTTATTTCCTTTTGGATCCTAGCCATAGTAAGAAAGTGTAGCTCCTTTCTGTTTCAGGCTTCCTAAAGGGAATTACCAATAGAATTTGCAATTCGGCTTTCAAAAGTGATTTGATAGTTATGCGGCTCCACTTGAAAGCAAATTAAACCCTTGTTTGAGCCCCATTTTTTTGGGGGAAAAGGATGCATCACACATTATTCAATAAAATAATATTATAAGTAAACCCAAAACGTTTCTTTATTTTTTAACCACACATTTTCCATCTATACACTATTCAAAAATTGGACTCAAACAAGCCCTAAAATTTACTTTATTCATTTTGTTCTTTTTTTCCAGCAGATTTTTGACTTGGATACTCGGGATGAATTTTGCTCATATATGCTTTAGTATATATAAAAGTTAAGGATTATTTATTTTCCCTTAAGTGGGCTAGAATAGAAGAAGTGTTGATGCATTAGTGCAATGCCAAACTTCAAATTTATAAGAGACTTTGGATACCAACATGTTGCTTAGGGAATGCAATGATACATTCATCTGAATGATTTGTAATAAAATGTGCAGGGCTGCAGGGTTCTTCAATCCATGGGACTGGTAGTATTTTAGGTTCAACACGTTCAGATCATTCATTTGTCATGTTGCCAAAGGAAAGGAATACGGTAGCAGGGGTCTCTCCTCGTCTTCGAGCTGGAGTAATGCAGCCTGATTCTACTCAGTCTGGGAAAGCAATAGAAGAGTCATTTGTGGTGTTACCTCCACCAGCTGCTTCAGTATACAATTGTGAGTCTGGAGCTGATGGAGGGGGTTTCAATTTGCCATCACCTGAGGGTGGCTCAACTAATTCTCCTTCACAACCACATAATTCGGGCTTTCATTCGACAATAACTGTCCTGAAGCGTGCATTTGAGATTGCCACGACACAAACACAGGTATGAATGAGTTATCCATTTCATAGGTCGACGGAAAGAAAACTTCAACCTATATTTGAGTGATTTGTCCCCATTCATCTGAAGTAGACAATGCAATTTGATGCATTAATCACGATTTAATGGTCTTTTTCTGCCTTGTCTTTTCCCATTTTACTATTCAGGTTGAGCAGCCTTTGTGTCTTGAGTGCATGCGGGTGTTATCTGATAAACTTGATAAGGAGGTTGAAGATGTGAACAGGGACATAGAAGCATATGAAGCCTGTCTTCAACGATTGGAAGGGGAAACCAGGAATGTTCTTAGCGAGGCTGACTTTCTTAAGGAGAAATTAAAGGTGCTCATTTCTCAAGCTCAGATGAAAATGCACATTTTGTATTTCTATAGCCAAAAATACATCAATGGTTTGCTTCTTCCTCTCTCCTCTTCCCCATCTTCCGACCCACAAGCTGAAACATTTTCTGGACCATCATCGTCGTCGTCATATTTTTGTGGGCTATACAAACCAGAATTTTGGTGTATGAAATATGTTTGACATAGGTTTGGCAATAAGTACAAGACATCATCCAATATTGGGTGACAGCCCATTTAGTTTTCCTCTTTATTTTGCTTAGAATTGAAAAGTTCAGGTGATTTTGGAAGGTGAATTGGAATTTCGACTCTGACTCAATGACTTCAGATTTTAGGGCTCAACTTTATGTATTGTATCTGTATATGCTACCATAAATGAAAAGGTTATGTTTGTAAGATCACTTGTCGTTAAGGTCTTTTCTCAATTTATTTAGTGCCAATGTTAATATGCTGCTGAATATATCTACTTGGAGTTTAAAACTTACTTTGTAATATACATATTCACTTGTCTGCTTATCTACCCCTTGACATGAGAATTCCATGTGTTTTAGATAGAACAAGAAGAACAGAAACTTGAAGCAGCTATTGCAGAAACAGAGAAGCAATGTGCAGGAGTCACTGCTGAACTGAAGGAACTGGAGTTAAAATCTAGCCGCTTTAAAGAATTGGAAGAGCGGTAAACATCAGACTAGTTTCATGCGTTAATAGAGATTTGTGTGATGGAACTGTTTGTAGTGCAGTTACTGTGATTTTTTAAGTAATTGTAAGATTTTGTCTTTTAGTTTTCAGCTTCCCCCCCCCCCCCCCCCCCCCCCCCCGGGGAAAAATTTTATATCTGTATGAACCTTAAAACATGTTAATTTGATAGTTCATTACTTCTGTTATCTTTACCAGGTATTGGCAGGAGTTCAATAACTTTCAGTTTCAATTGATCTCACATCAGGTCTGGTTCTGCTATTATGGGGGCGTTTGTTTACAAAAATGAGAATAAAAAATATAACCGATATGTGCCCTACACGAGAGAGAAATTCAAATTTGGTGGCTTGATGTGATAGATAACGGTCACATTTTTTATTTTAATGAGAAAAGAATGGGAAACAAACGGAGGCTATATCGTGTACATATTCCTTCTGCCCCTTCCCTTCCCAAAGGGTACCTGAATCTCTAACCTATCATCACTGGAAAGATAGGGGAAGGGGGATTCCTACTGTTGATGCCTTGGAACCCAAAATAGTGTTGATGTTCTCTTTATGAAAATTTTGTAAATTTTACAATTCCAATATTTGGTCAACAGGAGGAGACGGATGCAGTTTGGGCCAAGATAGAAGTTTCACAAGCTCATTTAGAGCTGTTGAAACATACGAATGTGCTCAATGATGCCTTCCCTATCTGGTATGATGGAGACTTTGGAACAATAAACAACTTCCGCCTGGGGAGACTTCCTAAGATTCCGGTATGCACGAGTAATGTGCATTTTATTTGATAATATTTTCTTGATAAGCCAACATAATGTCTTCTTTGTCTGTTGCACATGTCTAATTACAGACAAGTTGAAATGTGTAGTGAAATATATATTTCTTCCATAATCTATATGATTAAAGCTTATTTCAAATCCTGCTTTCTCTTTAAACAAACACAGATTCAAGGGGGTTGAACCATTGAAGAACTTCGCTGCATTTATGTTATTGCACATTTATGAAGAATTGGTTTTAATTAAGATCCTCACTTTTTTATGCTTATTCTCAGGTTGAATGGGATGAGATAAATGCTGCATGGGGCCAAGCTTGCCTTCTCCTCCATACAATGTCTCAATATTTCAGGCCAAAGTTTCAGTATCCTTTTATAAATTTCACTTTGAAGCCAGTTAAAAAAATTTAAAAAGAAAAAAAAATCCTTTTTATAAATTCACGTCCCTTACTCTCAGGATTTATGTTATGTGTGCTGTTTTGAGTATTGTTAGTTTCCTGAGGCAAAAATGCTTAACCTACTTAGAATCTCTCTATTTGTATAATATCTTCTCCACATTATTGATGTCGTGTGTTCCTGGACTCGAACTAAGGATCTCGTGATAAATGTACCATTAAGAGTGCATAATAATATAAGCAACTTAATTATACAATGAAGCTTATGATACGGAGAATAAAAACACTGGAACATCAATCACAGTCAGAGACCAGCATAGATATATATTTACCATTGAAGAAGCTAGTTTTCCATCATTTTTAAGGCGTAGTGGTAAAGTCAGTTTTAGTCCCCTGATCTGGTCTTAAATCTTTGCTGCCGTTTTGAATTCTCTTTAGCCTTGTCAGATTAATTTAATATTTGCAGAGCACTTAAATTTTATATGTCACTTTGACAGCATTCAGCATGAATCCCTTTCCTTACACCCCACAAGTTGACATTTCTGGGACTTGACGAAAGCTTTTATCTTTTGTTCCTTCCTTTGGTTTCTATCGTATTTTGTTTCCAATATTGATGCAGTGATGGTGTGCGATTTGCATATCGTTGCCAGGAACGGACATGTAGAATCCTGAAATTCCTGCAAATGAACCATGTTATTGTCTTTGTGAATTGTTGTGTCCTTAATTTGCATTTTTCCAGATATCAAATAAAAATTATTCCTATGGGAAGTTATCCTCGCATAATGGATAGCAGTGGCAGTACTTATGAACTGTAAGTTGAATTTCGAATTTCATTAGGGTTCTCTGATTTTAGAATGACAGATACAAGCCATTTGAACTGAACAGAGCTTGTCTGAACTTCCAACGTTAAACCATTATGTGTGTATGTTTTTTAACTTTTTTTTTTTTTTCCGTGGTGGTTGGAGATTAATTCTTAAATAAGGATTTGCTGCTTTGGGTACTGATTTTCAAAGGTTCTGTTTATATCCAATCTGTCCCTCTCTCTTCTTTTCTTATAGAAAAGAAATTTCAGTCTTAACTGTAATTCTTATTAATTCTCAAAGTTGTATAAGATCTGAAAGTCTATAATCTATCTAATCCCAGCAAAAGTCTCATCAAAACAAATATAATGTCATTGGAACTAATAAAATCAATTTTACTGAAATATGTTTTCGATTTTCATCAGTTGTTCTCTGGCTGCTTAGAGTTATTGCACAAACATGACCTTCCTTCAATCCCAAATCTTATTGTTGGCTGTGCAGATTCTTCTTTTTCTGTTCACCTTTTGCTCTGGGCATCCAGCCATTTTATGGATTTCTGTCTTTTGTAAGATTAATTGATCATCTGTAATCTGTGTATTTAAATAATATATTTTCTTGAAATTCTGCACTTTTGTCATCTTCTGGTCATTCTAGTCGGCTAACGTGAGTTTTCTCAGCTTTGGTCCTGTCAATCTGTTTTGGAGTACTCGCTATGACAAAGCAATGACATTGTTCTTGACCTGCCTGAAGGAGTTCGCCGAGTTTGCAAAGGCGAAGGATGTAGAAAATAAGATTTCTCCTGAGAAATGTTTTAAGCTTCCATACAAGTAAGTGACTGTGTGCGCCTTATTTCATGGAATGATTTGGTGGAGATATAATTGTCTAATGAACTTTCGTAACTTTATGTTGTAGCCATTTTAAGCTTCTTTAAGCATCTTTTATTGTTATGCTTAATTTCTCTCTCTCCCATTTTAATTGTGATCTGTCAACTTTCAGGATAATGTGGCCTTTTTTGAAGTATAAATTGATCTTTAATTTACTTGGTGTTACGAAATGTTGTTTGGAAACTGGGAAATTTTTAACTGAAAAACTATTGTTTGAAAGTTGGTAGTTCGAAATTGCTAAACAAAACAAAATAAAATATGATTCTGTACAAATGTTAAACGATGTACCATTCTAGATGGTAATTTGCATTGTTCTATGTTGTTTTGACTTTTTGTCCTTGTTCAATCAAGATTTGCAAAATCACTTACAAGTGTTCCACGCTCAAATATTGCATCTAGTAACATGAGATTGTGAAACACCAAACGTCATTGACAGATGAATTTTGACTTCTCCTTATGGAGGACTGTTTTGATTGAAGTGTGTGCTCTAGAGAATGAAATGGCACAAGATTGAGAACTGTTGGGGAGCTAAAACTAGATGTATAGGTACATTACTTGACTCAAGAAGTCGATATGAATCACCTAGGGCAATGGAATTGGAGAATCCTACTATTCTTTTCAAGTAAAAAAATCTGCCAAGGCTTGAATTTGTAGAAGGGCACCACTGGCCTCTTGAAATCTATTTGTGCGAAAAAAGTTGCAGTTGTGTCATGTTTTCTGTTGAATTTCTTTTGATTGTTTTGAATGTCCATTATGCCCTAAAAATTGGTTCGGCTAGCTTAATGCAGAGCACAAAAATATAACATGTTTGGTATGGTGGATTGGACAGTATCAAGCTGAAGTTTCGTCAATAATAGTATTTAGTATTGCATACCAAATATATTGTATTATAATATTCATTACACATATTTGCAGGATTGAAAATGACAAGGTCGACAATTACTCTATTACACAAAGCTTCAATAAACAGGAGAATTGGACCAAAGCTCTCAAGTATACGCTCTGCGATTTGAAATGGGCTCTCTACTGGTTTGTAGGGAAGACCAATTTCCAGCCTCTTAATTCATCGGTCTCGTCTCACACTGAAGCATCAGGTGCAGGATTGCAGTGTAGCAAGCGACCCACGGATTCCAAGTTGCATTCTTCCAATGCTTGATATGCAGTATAAAATATACATGCTTGTAGCATACCGAAGTGTAAATAAGTATACAATTAGAGATTTAGAGTCGAGTCCAGTTCATTTCATAGCTCTCTTTCTTTCAACGCTTCGAAAATACTCTCCTCTGAAACCTTAAGATAAAATGGAACTGTCAGTGTTTGGCACTCATTTTGTTGGAAAAATGAATTTTAGAATAGTAGATTAATGAGGAATGTGTGGATGAAAAATAAAGAAAAGTTTTTGATTTACGTATAATATTATTTTAATGAAGAATGTGGGGTTAAAAAGAAGAAAGAAAAATGCATTTTGATAAAAATAGGAATCAAACGGACATCTTTGTTCTTTTTCTTTATTTTATAGTTTTAGTTCATTTTCATCATGGAGTTTTAAGGGGATGTACAATTCTAAATTTCCGGTTCTTTATATGGTCGAATTTTTCATTTTTGTTCTCTAATTTTGAATATATGCGGAGGGTTCAAGTGTTCAACCAAAAAAAATGAAAAATGAACATATTAGAGAGGATTAGTGAAACGAGACGATCATTACATTGGTTGTTGGTTTGTATAAGATTGGATAAGATTAAAGGAGATGCATGATAAAATTTGTTTATTGCGACTTTGTTTAGCTCAGCGCGTGAAAAACGTATATTAAAAGCACGTAATTTAGTTAATGGCAAAAACTAACAGAAACCGTGGAGGTGGATTGACTTTGGTAATTTATTGAAGGTTGGGGACAAAATGGAACAAAAAAATGGTTAGGGACAAAATATGAAAGGTTGGAGATTAAATTGCAATTACCCTAAATTTTTTATTTTCTAGTATTTTGTAACTCTGTAATATAATAAATAGAAAAGTTATTCAAATGCTCTTATTCTTGTTTAACGTGGATAGTCGCTAACAATTAAAAAGGAATAAGACGATTGTGTAAGGAACAGACTTCTTGAGACAAAGTTCCAAAAAAGGGATGTTTTAATACCTCCAAGGGGCGCAAGCACACGAGTACTAAAAGAAATATTTAAGTTTAAACTAAGAAATTGAAATTACATATTCTCTGTTTGAGAGTATTTGATTCGGGTGTTTTTCTCTATGTCTTCTCTTCCTTTTATATTCTTTTGATGATTTCTTCGTGACAAACCGTTTGGAAACTGCTTGATTGCTGTATAACTACCCACTTTCTTTATGGTGGCTAACTTGTTGTGGAGCTGTCGTCCCTAACTGTTGCCATTACTCTTCATCGTTCAACCGCCTTCAACTGGGCTCCTTGAATCGTGGAATGTGATAAGATCACTCAATAACTGTTTCAATAACTGCTATTCTGGATAACCATAATGTTTTATGCTTGCTGAGATCTTAGGCGATTCAAAGGTTTGGGCGAGACTGGGGTCATCGCTCTGGGCGACCGTAAGGTATTCTATTTGTTCAGATTTTGGGCATCTTGCAAACTTGGGCGATGATATTACCGTGTTCGTGGGCTTCCACTACATTCATCAATAATCCTGATTGGACTTTTATCCTGGATTCCCCAATTGGGCTTCACTCTTTAGGCTATTTGATTTGGGCTGCACTTTTAATGTATCAACAATTACCTCCTAATATGGCAGAATTAATACTAATTATTAATCTTTGACATATTCACTTTGTATTTTCCAGCGATATTTGAAATTCTCAAGAATTTCAATCATTATTTCCTTCTACAGTCTGAAAAGATGCAACGTTACAAACCCTTATAAACGAAAAGGACACGTCATTTCATCACACCACTAAACCATGTCTCTATATTTCGTGCTTCTTCTTCGCTATTTTACTGTTCATCTTCTTGCTTCTCTGCTACGTTTCTCAAGCAAACCTTATCAAAACCGTACTTTGTTTCCAATGGCGACTTCACAAACTCAATCTGATGATTCTTTTAGTTTTGAAGATTTCCAAAAAATCCTTACTAGGCCATATGTAAATCCAAACTTCCTTACACAAGCTAGTGCTGACCTCAATGAATTGTATTTGGGCCCATCGTTCAATAATGTCGAAGCCGTCGGACAAGTGGCGGTAGGCCACCTGTTCCCTTGCACTCAAAGTCCTCCGTTCCTGAACTCTTTGCCATTGAGGCCGATTCGCGAAAAAAGTATTCGCACTTGGCCCAAAGCTAATGTTATTTTTCGTAGATGGCATGCACGTCTTGTGAGTCATGGCCCCACCAAGGTGATTTTCGATCGTGCTAGGATTTCAGATTTATTAGAAATTTCTCATCAACCCCCAATTTTTGACCCAGTGCTTTTTCCTTATTGTTTTGAGTTTTTGATCTTCTGAGTATAACACTTTTACTTTCCCTCTTGGTCCTATGTTTATTACTTTAAGGGATGTTGGAGCCCTACTAAATCTTCCGCCTTTGGGCGATACCATCTTTCCTGGTATCTTGATTTCCAGTGTTGCCCCGAAATTTGACAAGAAACTTACTGAGTCCTATTCAAGCCTGCAAGGCTTTTATAATCATTCAAGTGTTGAACCTTCCCATGCTGAGCATGTGGCCTTTCTTCAGATTTGGCTCTATAAATATATTCTTTGCGTGCCAAGTATGAAACCTTCTATGAGCTACTTACCCATAGCGCATGAATTGGCGCGTGGTAGGTCTTTGAACTTATGTTCCTTCTTTTTAGCCGCCCTTTATAGAGGCATGACTTCCCTTCAGTTTCAACTGAAGAATGGTGCATCTCCCACTGGCAGTGACCTTCTTTGGTTCACTCAACTGTGGTTGAGAGCATATTTTCCACCACTTAGTGCTCTATCCATTTCCCTTCATTCTGCTAGCTGCTATGGGCTAGCCATTGATCCACTGACACCTGTAAATATGTCCAGTATGGACATTTTTTCATTCTTTTATACCTTAAATTCGATTCCTTCTTTCTTTCATTTTCCTGCTCACTTGACTCCAGATTATGTGCAACCTCCATCCACCCTAGACAGTGCGAGTGCCTCTCTGGTTGTTTGGGTTTAGTTTTTGATTGGGAGGGAATTGTTCCACGATATCTTAACTGGAACCAATGCCAAAGCTAGGGTTGAGATATATGCTCCCCAATTTTTTGCTCGCCAACTTGGTTTTGGTTAAACTTGGCATGTTCCTCCTTGTTATTCTAAAAATTTGACAGACCGTTTTCACACTATTAATAAGGCAGAGGCACAAGCTATAGATGCTCGCAACATTCTTTTGACGAGCAAATTTTCATTAGCCCCTTTCAATTCTAGCTATGCTGTCCATTCCCTTTTTGAACAGCTTTGGCCATCAGTAACACGTCGATTGTTTGCAACTGATGATAATCGTGCCTTCCATTTACTGGACCAGCCAAACACTCTCTCTACTTCTCCCATTTTGGTCACCCCTATGTCCATTAGGAATCCTTCCTCCCCTGCTCGCGCTAAACATTCTATCCATCCATCTGCCTCTCTACCTACCAAGGCTACTACAGCTAAAAGTGCCTTAAGCCGTAAACGGCCAATTTCAGCATCTCCCACTTTGCAGGATGATGATGATGACGCTCCTCTCATCGTTAGGAGAAAGATAATTGAATTTGTTTATTCATAAACATACTTTTCTATGTACTAATGGTTTACCTGAATTTCTCAGAAAAGTTCAGCCTCTCTTTCGAAGGCTTTGGTTTTGGCAGCTCCTGCTCCATCATCTTCTGCTGAAGCTGTTTCGTCCAAATCAGCTAATGAAGGGATTATGCTTAAAGAGAAACCCTTAGTCCCGAAACCTTCATCACAACCAATAGAAAGGCCACCTTCTTCCCAGGGCGCCGACCCCCCAAACGTTGAACCAGAAGGTAATACATATTTTGATGTTTTACCTTTGCTTGCGCTACTGGTTTCTGATTCGTTGCATCTTGAATTATGCAGAGGCTCCCATGGGCCTGCCCGTTGTGGCAGAGTCTTCTCGCCCAGATAAGGGGAAGTCCCCACAGGTAGTGGAGCCAACTGGTGATATGCCTGAACTTCTCAGGATTGCTAATGAGGTAACCTTTTGCTTCGCTTTCATTTTCGCTTCGTTTATTGTAGTGAAAGCCCTCAATGTTAGCATTTTTCTTTGCAGGATGCTGATGACATTGTGCGTTCCATCCAGGACTTGTTTACTTCCTGGGGGCAAGTCAAGACGTCTCGCCCTACTTCAACCAGTGATCCTTCTGCTTCTTCAGAGGAAAATATGAAGTTTCTCAAGCAGTCGGTATTTGAGTACGTGTCTTTCATAGACATGGATATCGGCCAGGCTAGTGCTACTAAACATAAGGATAAGCTTGAGCTGTTGAGTGCGAAATTGGCGCAAGCACTCACACTTCTGTCGCTCAATGTTTCTACTGATTTTAAAGCGACGTTGAAGGTTGTTCACTCTGACATCCTCTCCTTGCTAGCCAAAAATGTTAAACTGAAGGCTAGGAGTACTCAATACTTTCGTGCTACATCTGAAAGAGAGTCTTTGCTTCTAGAGATTAACAAAGCCGAGGATGAATTAAAAGAAATCTCTTCTGACGTTATAATCGAAGACTCTTTGATGATAAGTTTGACTGTAGAGATGAAGGAGTTTCAAGCAAAAATGGAAGACTGTAAGGCGAGAATGACTGCGAAAAAGCGTAATGCTTCCCAAGGACTTGAACGAACCAAGTCTTTGGTTGAGCAGTACAAAAAGCTGGAAGTTGATGACGATTTTGTAACTGAATTAAATGTCGCTTCTTCTCAGCAGAGCGAAGATTGGGGGAGATTTAGGAAAGAATTCGTTCGGCCTGGGATGAATTGTAATTAAGACATCTAATGCCTTAACTTTCCTTTTGTAACTTCGTACTAACTTTCCTTTTGTAACTACGCACTAATTGCCATTGCTAATTTTGAATGTAACAGCAGTTATTGTCATTAATGAACGACTAGTTTGTCTACTTGCGTATTGATTGACGTTGTCCTTAATCGTCAACTTCCCAAACATTTAATTGCTTTATGCTAAAATTCATGTACATTCTTCCTTGGTATTTTCATCTCTTTTCCCAAGACGTTTCAGTTATTAGGCACGAATGTGGTCGTTCACATTCTGTCTTTTCACCTTCACGCCTCTATAAATGCGTGTGTATTTTTCACTCATCATTTTCATTTCCATTCTTTTCTTCAAAAACTAATTTGCTGCCATCGTTTGGTATCTCAACAATTGATCCAAAAGTTTCGT